TTATGCTGTACTCTTCTGTGTGTGTGCGCTTGCATAGGTGTATAGATGTTACACATGTGTATGTCGTTCAGTGTCTGTAATATTTCATTGTGTGGATATGCCTTAATTAATCTCTTTCCTCTGAGGGACATTGAGGACGTTTCCAGTGTACGTGTGTGTTTGTGTGTGTGTATGTGTTTGTTCTGTGTATGTGTGTGTGTTCTGTCATAACCAGGGTTCCACTGAAACATCTTACATACGTCTTTATCCATTGTAGCGTGTCTGTAAGTAAAATTCCTAGAAATGTAATTTTTGGATCAAGGGTATACATACTTAAAATTTTGTTAGATATTATTAAATTATTCTCCAAAAATGTGTACCAGTTTACATTCACACCAACAGGCCATGAGAGTTTCTAAAACCACCCAGTTTAAATTTGATGGAAGTGTGGCTGGACAGTGATGAGAATTGTCTTCAAGTGCCTTTGAGAACACTATGTACTTTATTAGCATTTCTTTTCTTAAAAGCAGGTATCTTTGAGTTTTGATTATTGGCCATGTGACTGTAACCATTTGTTGACAAGAGGAGTAGGCAGTTTAAAAGAAAAATTTGGTGGGCACCTGGGTGGCTCAGTTGGTAACGTGTCGTGTCCAATTCATGATTTGTGAAATTGGACTCCTATGTTGGGCTCTGTGCTGACAGTGCAGAGCCGCTTGAGATTCTTACTGTCTCTCTCTCTCTCAAAAAAAAAAAAAAAAAAAAAAATGTTTGAAATGTGCCTCACACCTCTCAATTGTCAATCTAAATGTTAAAGTTTTGCTACATTCGTTTCTTGTCACCAGTCTTTTTAAATCAGAACAACTCTAGGAGTAAGTGGCACTACAGTTCCCAGTTACTTGCCTGCTCACATGGAAACCCCTTAATGGAGTTCTAGGTGAACTCCTAGTAGCAGAGGCAGAGACTAAACACTCCACTGTCTGGAGGGTCAGGCTCATTTCAGGAGATGGGTAAGACCAAGTGACCAGATTTCCTTTTTGACTAGTTTTCCTGCCCATGGGTCACTTATTTATGTCTTCCTCATTCTGTTTGTGTGCTTTTAGGGTGAAGGTGATGTGTTTTATTTAATAGATTTGATTTTTTTTAGTGAATTTAGAACTTATTAGTAGGCCTTAATAAGGAAGGGTGTTAGAGTAGAGGAGTTAACTTTGGTGGTATCACAGTCCCAGATTCTTTATTTCATCCTATATTCAGAGCCTGCTGTCAAGAGTAAAATGAAACAAAGTTAGTTTTCATAAACATCCTTAAGGAGTAATAGGATATTTGAGTAGTCCAAGGGCATGAGATATTCAAAGTTACCATATCCCTTGATTAAAAGAACATTGGAGACTTTCATTAATTATTATTGGTGGTGTTCTCTTGCTTAATTCCTATTCAAGATGTCTGTGATTTTAAGGGCGCCTGGGTGGCCCAGTCAGTTGAGTGTTCAACATCTGCTTAGGTCATAATCTCAAGGTTTGTGGGTTCGAGCCCTGCGTCGGGCTCTGGGCTGACAGATCAGAGCCTGGAGCCTGCCTTGCATTTTGTGTCTCCCCCTTTCTCTGCCCCTCCCCTGTGTGTGCATGCGTTCTCTCTCTCCCAAAAATAAACATTTTTAAAATATGAAAAAAAAAGTCTGTTATTTAAATACTTTCAAGGAGCAGAGCTTGTCTTCTGGGCTGGCTCATATCAATTCTCTCTCTCTTTCTCTCTTTTTTAAGATTTTATTTTTAAGTAATCTGTATACCCAACCAACATGGGCTCAAACCCACAACACCAACATCGTCATATCAAGATCATAGCCCTGCCAATTGAGCCAGCGAGGCGCCTCTAATATCAGTTCTCTTGAGTTTTGGATTATTGAGATCTTTCCTTTTGCTGATAGATCAAAAGATTTAATGTAGTGTTTATCTTCCCTTCTGCCTGACATTGGTTTTTGGAAATGAAAAGGAAAAACAACTGGAATCATCAGTTGTCTTATCACTACTGACCTGTTTGTAGTGTAAGCCTCAGTGAGGGCAACTGTGAAGGAGTTTCTAATTTTAGAATGTTGAAAGCTTAACAGTTTTGGTAGTTGGGCTGAGATTTATTCCTGGAGGTGTGTGTTTGTTTTTTAAAGTGCATTTATTTTGAGAGAGAGAGAGAATCCCAAGCAGGCTCTGCACCACCAGCATGGAGCCCAATGCGGGGCTCGAACTCATGAACCGTGAGATGATGACCTGAGCTGAAATCAAGAGTTGGATGCTTTACCGACTGAGCCATCCAGGTGCCCCACTTAAAGAAGTATCTTTAAACCTTAAGGGAGGGGAGAGATTTTCTCTTCCATTTACTTAAATTGGTAGCCTTCTCCCCTTGACCCCACCCCCCACATTCTTCACTTTTTGGGATAAAATTAGCTTAGGGGCACTTTGGAGACTTCACTTGGGAAAAAGGGATAATATCAATAAAGGGAAAGTGCTAGTGTCCGTCGGAGTAAACTCTGTGGAGGGAAGAATTATGCCTTATCCATGGTTGTAGCCCTTGCACCTAGAACAGTACCTGCCATGTGATGAGTGATTAATTTATTGTGTAAATAGATAATTGAAAATTTAAATTTTGGTATACTCATAATTGGCATTTTTAAAAAGTTTATTATTTTGAGAGAGAGTAAGAGCATGGGCAGAGAAGCAGAGAGAGGAGGGGAAATAGAGAATCCCAGGCAGGCTCTGCTCTGTCAGGACAGAGCTCGTTGTGGAGCTAGAACTTATGAACCATGAGACCATGACCTGAGTGGAAATCAGGAGTCAGACACTTAACTGAGTGAGCTACCCAGGTGCCCCTTGTAATTGGCATTATACTATTTTAAATGAATAATCTAGTTATCTGTATCAACTTGAATCAGTATCAAAGGTAATACTAAAGAAAAAATTAGTTGATATAATACTATATATAATGCCGTAAAACTTTTCAACTTGAAAAACAATACAATATTCTTTTTCTTTTTTTAAAGCAATCTCTGTGCCCATTGTGGGGCTAAACTAATGACCTAAAGATCAAGAGTTTCATGCTCTAATGACTGAGCCAGCCAGGTGCCCCATATTAATTATATAGATATACCTGCATATATAAAGTAAAAGTATTAAGAAAAAGCAGCAGTGATAAATACCAAATTCAGTATAGTAGTTACCTGTGAGGAAAAGAGAGAGGAAAATAGGATTGCAACAGTTAACTCAGAGAGCTTCAGTGTTTTTGTGATGTTCTATTTTGTAAGTTAGGTTATATAAGTAAATGGTTGTTAGAATATTCTCTATACTTTTTTTGTAAATTTGAAATGTTTAATAAAAATAAATGAGAGGGGCGCCTGACTGGCTCCGTTGGCAGAGTATATGACTCTGGATTTCATGGTTGTGAGTTTGAGCCCCATGTTGGCTGCAGAGATTATTTAAATAACTGAAGGAGCGCCTGGGTGGCTCAGTCAGTTAGGCTTCTAACTCTAGCTCATGTCATGATCTCACTTTTTGTGGGTTTGAGCCCCACGTTGGGCTCTGTACTGACAGCTCATGTGCTTTGGATTCTCTCTCGGCCCCTCCACATTTCTTTCTCTCTCTCTCTTTCTCTCTCAAAAATAAACATTAAAAAAATTCTTTAAATAATAAGTAAAGAAATAAATGAAAGCATATAGATGAGACGTCAGCAAACTAAGGGCTAGTAAACTTTGTGGCCCATGAGCTAAGAAGTATGAATGGTTTTACAAAAAAAAAAAAGTCACAAAAAGGATATTTCACTATATGCAAAAATTATACAAAATTCAGATTTGGGTGTCCATAAATAAAGTTTCATTGGAAATAATCACACTTTTTATGTATTGTCTGTGGCTGCTTTCACATGCTCTAGTGTCAGAGTTTGTAGTCACAACAGAGATCATGTTCCCCATGACTAAAATATTTACTATATGGCCCTTTATAGAAAAGGCCAATCTGTAGCATAGATGAATTCCAGTACCAGACTAATGGTGGTATAACTGGACAAATAGGCTATTATTTGGTAAATGTTTGTAATAAGTCTGAGGTAGTTATCTCCAGATTGTGTTTTTTGAAAGAACATTTTATTCAGAAGAAAATCAGTCAGCCAGAAATTGACTTTCAGTGGAAGTTTCAAAATGGCTACCCAGGAGTAATCTCATTTTGTTGGATGAATCCAAACCGAATGCTCTTTCCCCTTTGACTCCCTCTTTAACTTGCTTGTTATTAAAGTTCCTGATTCTAGGGGCACCTGATTCTAGGGGCACGCTCAGCCATTGAGCGTCCAACTCAGGTCATGATCTCATGGTTTGTGGGTTCGAGCCCCGCGTCAGCCTCTGTGCTGGCAGCTCAGAATCTGGAGCTGCTTCAGATTCTGTGTCTCCCTCTTTCTCTGCCCCTCCCCTGCTCCTGCGCACGCTCTCTCTGTTTCTCTGTCTCTCTCAAATAAATAAACATTTAACAAAAAATTTTAAGTTCCTGATTCTAGTTTAACCTTGGATATTTGACAGGTTTGTTGTTGTTGCTGTTTTTTAGTAGGCTTCATACCCAACGTGGGGCTTAAACTCATGACCGTGACATCAAGAGCTGCACACTCCACCGATTGAGCCAGCCAGGTGCCCCAATAATTAACAGTTTTAAATACCTACCGGAGCTGCATGATTTGGAATTGGTATTTTGGTAACTCATTGTTTTTTGTTTCCAACAACTTTAGGAAACCAGTGGTGTTTTAGAGGAATGTAATATTTGAATACCCAAACATACAAAGTCACTGAAGTAAAGGCAACTTTTTCTGCAGTCCTTTTAGTTTTAAGATGTATCAAACTCTGACCAAGCTCTGGAAACTTTATAGCAGAAGTAGTGATTTGAATCCATTACAATACATTTGGTATTTTTTAAAGACATAGTGCTGGGTCCCTAAAGAAAAACTTTTCTTAAGCAGATTTCCACTTCAGAACAACACAGTGTAATTTTGATTATTTGTAGAAAAATACTGATTTTTCTCAGTATTTCCATGAGAAGCATTAATCGTTCCCTTGCACTCCATTGGGTGGTCTGAAACAGCACCAAGTCAAGTAATCCCGTTTCAGGTGAGTGTTGCGGTGGCGGCGGCGGTGGCGGTGGCGGTGGTGGTGGTGGTGTTCACGTTCTCTCCAGGGAATACTAGATTATCCTGCTCTCATCATATTAGAAGAAATAGAAAAAGGAAAAATAAGAGGATTTGAGTGCTCTTCATCTTTTCTTCAGTGTTCTTCATTTTTTCTTCCTTATAACAAGTGGGTTTTTTAGGGGCGCTTGGGTGGCTCAGTTGGTAAAGCATCCAACTTTGGCTCAAGTCATGACCTCGCGGTTTCTGAGTTCAAGCCCTGCATCAGGCTCTGTGCTGACAGCTCAAAGCCTGGAGCCTTCTTCAAATTCTGTGTCTCCCCATCTCTCTGCCCCTCCCATGTTCATGTTCTGTCTCTCAATAATAAATAAATGTGTTTTTTTAAAGTGGGTTTTTTTTTAAGTGTTAATTTGTTTTCAGAGAGAGGGCATTGCATGCTCATGAGTTGGGGAACCAGCAGAGAGAGAGGGAGAGAGAATCTCAAGCAGGCTCTGAGCTGTCAGTGCAGAGCCTGACAACACGAAACTTGATCCCACGAACTGAACCATGAGATCATGACCTGAACTGAAACTAGGAGCCACTCAACCCAGCTGAGCCACGCAGGTGTTCCTAAAACACAACCCAGCTGAGCCACGCAGGTGTTCCTAAAACACTCAACCCAGCTGAGCCACGCAGGTGTTCCTAAAAAGTGTTTTTAAGAGATACTATTGTAGTTTTCAAAACTATAGCCACAGACTTTTTTTAATGAATTCAAAAGAGATCTTAATAAAATTGTAATATAAAACTATAAAAAAGCAATGAAACATAAAATGTCTAGTCTGATGACTCTTTTTTCTCTAAGATATCTGGATGGATATGTAAAATATATAAGGAAGATCTTCTAAACTCCTTTGTAGTTAATAGTTGAGTCGATATTGGAAATTGCTTTCTTGGTCTGAAATTTTTCCTATCTACAGAGAGACCAGTGAGTCACTCTGTTCTGTTTTGTGTTGTCGGTCCCTCCTGCTTGCTTTTTTTTTTTTTTTTTAATGTTTATTTCTGACAGAGAGACAGCGTGAGCAGGGGAGGGTCAGAGAGAGAGAGAGGCAGCACGAGCAGGGGAGGGGCAGAGAGAGAGAGAGAGGGAGACACAGAATCTGAAACAGGCTCCAGGCTCTGAGCTGTCAGCACAGAGCCCGACGCGGGGCTCGAACCCACGAACCGTGAGATCATGACCTGAGCCGAAGTCGGACACTTACCCGACTGAGCCCCCCAGGCGCCCCCTCCTGCTTTCCTTTCTGATTCAGATTATCTTTCTTACCCTAAGTGGAGGAGAGAATCCAGTTCTTGTTGAATGGTGTTATTGCTTGGGAATAGGCGACCATTTTGATATTCGGAGCCAGTGTGTTTCATGACTGATCTCATGCAGACTTCTTTAATGCTAGAGATTTTCTTGTTAGAGGAATTTTTGAAGAACCTTTCTTAACTACCAAAGTCAAAGGTATGAAAGTCTTAGTGAAGAGGACCCCTGACCTCAGATATGATTATCAATCTTAGAAAGCTTTTTAAGTAAAAAAGAACAGGTAACTTTTGCCGTGTGGCTAAAGGAAGGACCTGGACACTGTCAACTATCTTGAATTTAAGGGAAAATCATTGTGTTGTCAAGACATTTAGTGACTTTTCTTCCTGCCCTTCAAATGCCTTGGTTCTGTACCTCTTGCACCTGATTTCTAGCAGCATTGAAAGAAGGAAATACTGCCAGTCTCTTGCTTATCTTGTTTTTCTTCTGTTGTATTTTCTGGTGAACTTCTCCCTTTCCCCTATATATGTAAATAAAAGGTTTAGGGGCACCTGGGTGGCTCAGTCAGTTAAGCGTCCCAACTTGGGCTCAGGTTATGATCTCACAGCTCGGCTCATGAGTTGGAACCCCATGTGAGTAAGAACCCCATGTTGGGCTCTGTGCTGACAGCTCAGAGCCTGCTTGGGATTCTGTGTCTCCCTTTCTCTGCCCCTCCCCTGCTCACACTGTCTGTCCTTCAAAAATAAATACATCTTTTTAAAAATGTTTAAAAAAGAAAAAGCTTTATAAGGTGACCACCTAAATGGAGATCTAGAAGATTACCTCCACCCAGAAGCCTTTTTCATGCTCCCTTCTAGCCTTTATCATTCCGTCCCCACCCCCAAAGGTAACCACTATTCTGACTTTGACTGCTAGTATTGTTCTACTCTGGAGTTGAGACTGTTGGTGGTAATAGCCATGGACCTCCTTGAGGTTAAAATCCTTTTGGTAGTGCTAAGTGTAATGGTTTTCAGCTGGGAGTATTTAGCTGCCCAGGGCACATTTATTTGGCTGTGTATGGGGACATTTTTGGTCCTCAAAACTGGTGGTGCTTGCTACTGACATCTGGTATGTAGAGGCTGGAAGTCCTGAGTATCCCACAGCGCACAGGACAGCTTCCCACAACAAAGGATTATCTGGCCCAAAGTGTCCATAGGACTGAAGTGAGAAACCTTGTTCTAAGAGCTAGAGCCTCCTGAAGTTATTGTGGCCGTGAGTGATACATTAGGTTGTTGAAAATCTATTTTGCTTTTGAAACTTTTGTCATTAATCAAAAATCTTTATAGGAGAAAAAATATTTATTGACAGGGACCTCTTGAGGGTAAACTCTTTTTATTATTATTATTATTTTTTATTTCTGAGAGAGAGAGACAGAGACAGCGTAAGCAGGGGAGGGAAAGAGAGAGGGAGACACAGAATCTGAAGCAGGCTCCAGGCTCTGAGCTGTCAGCACAGAGCCCGACGCGGGGCTCAAACCCACAAACTGTGAGATCATGACCTGAGCTGAAGTCGGACACTTAACCCACTGAGCCACCCAGCCGCCCTGAGGGTAAACTTCTTAAGGTAAACATTGACTACCTGATAAGATGATAAACCTCTTTCTTGATATTGTAAGACACCAGATCCTATCAACGTCCCAGGTCTTTGTCCTGGTATTGAAGAAAATTGGCATCTTTCGTCTCCATGTGCTTGTTAATGCTGATAGGCAGATCTTAGCCAATAGACTTCCAGCAGCACCCGCTACGTCAGACCAGGCAAGTTTTCCCCTTTGGACTGGGTTTAGGTGCAGTTTCATCATACTTAATCCACTACCGTGTGAATATGTTCTTCCCCTCATTTCAGTAAAGATTCTTTGCAAGTATATTGGATGATATACACATCTAATCCTAGGCCAGTTTTGTTGTCTAGGTTCCTATTTTTACATTTTGCTATACAGGAGTGAAGAATGTTCAAAATCCACATTGGAATATTTCATCTGTCAATTTTGATTTTTAACTTCTCAACCATTTACAAGTTAGTTGCCTAAGCAGATATGTATTAGTAATCCTGTATAGTATTACACTTTGGGTGAGTAATGCTTTTTTGACCCTGAAAGACCCTTTAACTTATCAGTATATGTAGCATTTGGTCAACAAAATAGTTCTTCTAGATGTCTGATCTTTAGCCTTTAGGGTATTTTCATTAGCGTTCTGTTATTCTAATAGTCTTGTTACCTATCTTCCTAATGAGTTTTATAGGTGGCTTATGCTCCGTCTTGATGGGCCTGGGAACTCTGTCTCTTTCTTTCATTGTGCATTTATGTCTTTTAGAAATTTGTTAAGTTCAATCAGTATGTTTATTTTTAAAGTTTATTTAATTTTTGGACAGGTAGTATATACACATGACGCAGTATTCACAGTTGGAAAAAGGATTTCAATCAAAAAGTATATATCTCCTTCTCTGGAGGTGGAACTTGTCTGTTTCTTGCTATCTTTTGATGACTAAGGTGGACATTATAAACTTAAGACTTTTCTTTCTCTTTAACCTTTTTATTCTGAAGAATTTAAGATGTAAACCCAAATAAGGGCTATAGAATAGTTAACTTCTGTATCCCCACCACCAAACTGCAAAAATGTCAACATTTTGCTATTTTAAATTTCGTTTTTAATGTTTATTTTTGAGAGAGAGCGCGAGAGCAGGGGGAGGGGGAGAGAGAGAGGGAGACACAGAATCCGAAGCAGGCTCCAGGCTCTGAGCTGTCAGCACAGAGCCCGAGGCAGGGCTTGAACTCTCAAACTGCAGGATTATGACCTGAGCTGAAGTTGGACGCTTAACCCACTGAGCCACCCACACGCCCCAACGTTTTGTTATTCTTTACAGTTAATTTCAGTGTTGAAAATGTAAAGGAAATATTTTGAAGATATGTAAAATTTAATAAAATGAAGATTTATCTTAAAGCTTATTTACTTTAAGTAACTTCTACACCCAGCATGGGGCTTGAACTCATGACCCTGAGGTCAAGAGTCACATGCTCTACTAACTGAGCCAGCCAGGTGCCCCATGAAAATTTATTTTAAATTTGATAGTCATACATATACCACTTTTGTCTTTCCTAATCTTTACTTTTTTTTTTTTTTAATATTTTTATTTATTTCTAGGAGAGAGAGAGACAGCGTGAGCAGGGAAAGGTCAGAGAGAGAGGGAGAGACAGACTCCGAAACAGGCTCCAGGCTCCGAGCTGGCAGTCAGCACAGAGCCCGACGCGGGGCTCGAACCCACGAACTGCGAGATCATGACCTAAGCGAAAGTCGGACGCTTAACCGACTAAGCCACCCAGGCGCCCCATCCTAATCTTTCCTTTTATATTGGCCTCCATTTTTCTCATTGGTGTAATATGAAGAGATTATTGTTTGGTCCTCCTGAAATTCTGGGAACTCCTGCCTCGTGAGTCTACCGAGATTATCATAGAAATCTAAGTGAGGTGCATTCTGAGCTGCCCAGTCAGGGCAGTAGGATGGAGAGACTCTCCATCTCTAATCATCAGTAGTTAGTTAGATCATGTTCTAGTATAGCCTGTTGGTCTTAGGGAATCCAGGGTGGTAATTATTGAAAAGTAGAGGGTAGACTTAAAGGTTTATACGAGTTATTGACTGTGTAGCTGTAATAATTTTCTTATCTTGGTTTCTCTTTTTTCTTCCTGTTTGGAGACTCTTAAAGTCAGAGATTGAGTGGAACATCAGTTTTTAGAAGGTAGGTGGTTTTTGGTTTTGTTTTGTTTTGGCGTTGTTTGTGACTTCAGAGAATGATAAAGATAAGAGGGGTATTCTCAACAAAACTGAAAGGTGAGAAGCTTAATGGAGAGTAAAATATCTGAAGCACTAAGTGAAGCTGTTCCTAGTCAGGGAGCCTCTACCCTTGGGAAGGTAGACAGGGGGAGACACTGGTATTTAGTAACAGAAAAAAAGCCAAGTCAAAAAGTAGAATCTAAGTGCTTGGAAAATCTGTGGTAAAACATCATTAATAAGACTATTAAATCATAGTTTTTCTCTGTTTTCTTTGTGACACTTAGTTGATGATGGGTGTCAGCACATTGAGGTGTTTAGGTTGAGTTTTTCATTGTCAGATAAATTCATTTATTCTAATAGTTTTTTGGTAAAGTCTTTATAGAGTTTTCTATATTTAGTATCATGTCATCTTGAAATAGTGAAAGTTTTACTTCTTCCTCTTTTTATTAAAATGTTTTTTAATGTTTATTCTTGAGAGAGCAACAAAGCACAAGCAGGGGAGGGGCAGAGAGAGAGGGAGACACAGAATCTGAAGCAGGCTCCAGGCTCTGAGTTGTCAGCACAGAGCCCTAGGTGGGGCTTGAACCCATGAACCACAAGATCATGACCTGAGTGAAAGTCAGACACTTAACCGACTGAGCCACCCAGGCACCCCACTTACTCCTTTTTAATTTCGTTGTCTTTTATTTATTTTTCTTGCCTAATTGCTGTGGCTGGAACTTCCAGTACTATGTTGAATAAAAGTGATGAGAATGGGTATCTTTGTCTTGTTCCTCTTTGAGAAAAAGCTTTTAGCTTTTCACTACTGAACATGATGTTAGCTGTGGGTTTGTCATACATGGCCCTTAATGTATTGAAGTGTGTTCCTTCTAAACCTGCTTTGTTGAAAAAAAATTTTTTTAAGATTTTGTTTTTGGGGAGCCTGGGTGTCTCAGTCTGTTAAGTGTCCGACTCTTGATTTCAGCTCAAGTCATGATCATTTTGTGAGTTAAAGTTTGTGAGATTAAGCCCCACATTGGGCTCTGCACTTGCAGCCCAAAGGTTGAGTGGGATTCTCTCTCTCTCTCTCTCTGCCTGCCCCTGTCCCACTTGCTCACTCGTTCACTTTCTCAAAATAAATGTATAAACATTAAAATATATATATTTCATTTTTAGGTAATCTCTACACCCAATGTGGGACTCGAACTCAACAACCCTAGGGTCAAGAGTCACATGCTCTAGTGACTGAGCCAAGCAGGCACCCCTGAGATTTTTTTAATCATAAATGGTGTTGAATTTTGTCAAATGTTTTTTCTGCATCTTTTGAGACAATCCTTTTTTAAAAATTTTTTAATGTTTATTCATTCTTTGAGAGACAGAGTGTGAGCGGGGGAGGGGCAGAGAGAGGGAGACACAGAATCCAAAGCAGGCTCCAGGCTCTGAGCTGTCAGCACAGAGCCCGACCGGGGCTCAAACTCATGAACTGTGAGATCATGATCTGAGTCGAAGTCAGCCACTTAACCTACTGAGCCACCCAGGTGCCCCAAGATAATCATTATTTTTATTCTTCATTTTATTAATGTGGTGTGTCATGATTTATTTATGAATGTTGAGCCATCCTTGGGTCTCGAAAGTAAATCCTATTTGATCATGTATGAACCTTTTTTTTTTTAAGTTTACTTATTTTGAGCGAGAGCATGAGTGGGGGAGGGGCAGAGAGAGAGGGAGACATAGAATCCCAAGCAGGCTCTGCTGTTAGCACAGTGCCTGACACGGGACTCGAACGTACGAAACTGCAAGATCATGACCTGAGCTGAAACCAAAGTATGGATGCTCAACCGACTGAGCCACCCAGGTGCTCCTGAACCTTTTTAATGTATTGTTTAATATGATTTGCTAATATTTTGTTGCGAATTTTTGCATCTATATTCATTAGGGATATTGGACTATAATTTTTGTGTATGTGGTATCTTTGTCTGGTTTTTGTATTATGTTAATGCTGGCCTCATAAAAATGAGTTTGGAAGTGTTCCTTCCTCTTCAGTCTTTTGGAGTAATTTGAAAAAGGTAGATGCTAGATGCTAAATCTTTTTTTTTTTTTTTTTTTTTTTTTTTTCTATTTT